GTGCGGAACTCCCTTGTGCCCCATGTTACCTTGATACTGGGGTTAAGCTCGTCGCGCTGGCCTTGTAATCCGAGGGCGCTGGCGATGAGGACCGTTGCGAGACCGACGATTTGATGCTCGTTCTCACTTTGAGTAGATGTGATGACTTCGGCGTTGTCGACAAAGTTATAGAATTTTGCGTGAACGACGATCTTGGCATCAGTAGGCTCGTCTTTGTGGGTAAGAGCCAACTCTTGGGAGCCGCCATTGAGCAGAATGTCCTTGACCGTAGTAGTCGCGATACCAATATCGTCATCGCCGCCAAGATCATCGTCCTGGACATCAATGAAGATGCGCTGATCGTAGTCTGCGACGAGGAAGTCATGGGTCTCGTTCCACTCCGGGTCGTGATCATTCTTCTTGACGGAAGTGCGCCATTCCTCCTCAGCACCAACGTTCACCTTCGCGTAGCAGTCGGGGACATCCTTGACAATCTTGGCCAACAGTCTCTTGGCGCCACTCTTCTTTGGGCCGTTGATACAAATTGCCCTCTCAATGGTAAGGCGGAGGGCGCCCAGATGAGGCAGGTATGTTCTAAAGTAGTCATTGTTGCTGTCAAGCTTCACAAGGTAACGGTTGGGGAGCACAGCCATCGAGGCGATGATGTCCAGAATGACCTTGCGCACAGCCTTATCAACCAAGGCCCAGTCTGCGATGTTCGCAGCATTGGTGAAGTCGAGTTTGAGTTCTGGTGGGTTGATGAAGGCGACTTGCGCAGCTCCAATCTTGATTTTCAAGTCAGCACTCATACCAGCATCATTTATCTAAGAAGTCATGTAAAAGTGACATACCAAGGGGATGATATTTGTTAGAGGTGCAAGCAGGATGGAAAGTCTGCCTTTCAGATGAACATGCTCGATACCCTGTCGTCGTCTGCTTTAGCTATGCGCGAGTCAAGCGGTCATCTTCGTACCAGGGTCTTACCAGTTTGGGCACCATCTTGCCATCGAGCTCGATGTCGCTCTTTCCTTCCCAAATCACGTCCATGTCAAGCTTGATACCGCCGTTGTCAACCTTGTGGACGTCCACTTCTGCTACCTGCATGGGAACAGTCCCGAGGTCCAGCTTGACGAACTTGAGGCTCGCGAGGGGGCCAGGAAGCATCGTAGCGAACATGGGCTCCACAATCTCCTTTACCATCCTGCAGCCGGCAACATTGATGTTTGGCCATAGCTGCTCGATGATATCGTTGAGAAATCCTGACGGGATGTTAGACACAACATGCCGAACAAACAAATATTGTAGCCGGGGAATGGGTCCGTTGTGCCCTACCAGCTGATTCGGTGCCTCCAGAGGCGGTCAACTCATCTACGATTCCTGCCATTTTGAATAAGGATGCTGAATTCAGAAAAGTGAATAATGCAGAGGAGAGTAAAGCGGTATTCGTCGATGAAAGACGAGAGGCCTTGAGGAACAATGATGATATATCAATGGGTCAACGCGAGAGTGGGTCAGCCCGTTTAGAGGGTGGATCAATCAGGGGAATGTCAAGAACACTCCAGCTGAAGCCCAACATCAAAGGGGAAATTGATGGGTGAGCGCATTTGATGCCCAGACTACGCGGTGGCTTGTTATTCGTGTTCCTTGGCAGTGAACATGGAAAGTGGGTTGACGTCACTTGTTAGACTGCGGAGATCACTGGATGTCATACAAGCTTGCTAGGCATTAGTTTGCCCTTGAGCTCTATCATTGGGTCTGTATCCCTGCCCGCGCGGGGTTCTGCACTCAGCCGCTGACACACCGCTTGTCGACCCCAGTTCCAGGGAGAACTTGCTTCGATGTCTGGATCAATGACAGCTGTCTTGGATATTGCAGGATCCTCCTGAGCACCAGTCGTGGAGAGACGGGAAGTGGCTGGTGCTGCAATTCGGTGGCGTTGCGGCATGATACGTGGACACGCTAACAGCGCTTCAGACATGCAGCGGGACCATTTTACAGGTGAGTAGATGAACCGTTGAAGGCTAATAATAGGGTATGATGCCAAAGACTTCGGTCTAGACTATGCGATAGAAACAAGGACTTCCTACATTCGCGAAGATCGTGTTTCATTAGAGACTCTTTGGATCGCGTTCAACATGTGCATTAAATTTTACACACAGCCAATCAACGAGTCTCCTCGTCGTGGTGTTTATACGGCCTCACTGACAATGGTCCTACAGCTCATCTTTTTCCACTGAAGACGACTCGCGTAAGGCGGAAAAGAAAGCCCGCACGTCACCCATCCATAGATCGGGGTGACTGACAGCTGGGAAATGCTCGCCAACTCGATGTCTCTGGAGAAACACCAATTTAACGGATCTTTCGACCCAATCTCTTGGCTGTCGAAAGTCAGTTTTGATGTCTGGACACACGTGTTCCACAATTGATAGAACTTACTGCGAACCCAAAGTTGCCAACGTCAGGGAACGGGCCATCGCCCATACTCCATTGAGAGACCCCCGTGGGCACGTCTGTGTGGGGAAATTGTGACTACCTAGTATAGGTGTCAATGATTACGACTCTTGCAAGAATCACCCTCAAAACGGGATGGCAAACCTGGAATTCCAGGTAAGCTCGAATACCTGCGTATGGCCCCGGTATATACATCATCATCGCATCCGTGATGAGCTCTTCCTCGGTGTAAGGGTAGCCATTGGAAGTGGCGTAGTTGACATCCCAGAACCAGCCAAGCAGACCAATCGGACTATCAGCCAGAGCTTGGGATACAGTCAGAGGTTTCTGTCTATGAACTACGGAATGTGCCCAATGGGAGCTAAACCATTTGTCGATAAATTTCATGTAAAGAGTTTCCTCGTCGGTGGTCTGATTCTGCCCCAGTCGACCCCGGTGTTCAGTGGTTGGCTCAGCGATAAAAAAGTCGCCCATGTGACCAAGTATACTATCACGGACATCCATGGTCATCCACATTCGGTGACCCATCCGAGGTCCGTAGTGACTATTCCATACTTTTCGTAACTGAGCTGGTGCATCAATGTGTCGCAGGCTGATCCCATTTCGCGCAATCCTCGCCCGGGGTGTTCTGGCTCCGGAATGAATCCAAAGCCAGGTCTATCCAGTGCGACGATGTGGAATGACTGTTCGTAATTTTCTGACAAAGGCTTGATGACTTTTGATCACTCTAGATTCGTTGATGGTCATCCGTGAAGGAGGAGTAGTGGTGTAGCATTGGAGTTGGCGGAGACATGATGGATAAAGTGCAGCGGTACAGGATATGGGTGACTCTCGCCGCCCAGGACAGTCGTTGCATAGTGATCGAAATCGTCGTTGAGCCTTTTCTCAACTTTATTCCAATCGTATTGGTTGATCCAGTACTCCGCAACGCCGGTCAGATTCCCAGCGGGAGGCCCTTCAGTATCCCATTCTGAAGACAGGCCATGTGTAGGTCTATAAGATCGTGCTTTCTGCAAGGTATCATGCAGAAAGGATTCGTGGACGTGAACCTTGAGTCTTTGGACTTTTGGGTTCGATGGAAAGTCGAAATTCAGTGTAGGTCGATCAGATCGCTGGTAACTAGTAGCTGTGACCATCAACCACAATAGAGATTGGACAAGCATGACGAAGGAACGCACGTAGTTGTTCGCAGAATGTGGGAGCAGATGTAGAAAATACTTCCTCGTCGAACAGACTATGGGTTGACTCTATACCCTCACTTTGTGAAGGCCGTCAATTTCGTTCTCTTCCCTTGAGAGATCCCAAGAAAGACAGCACGTTCATGCTTGCTCTCGAACTCCGTGGAGCTGGATCGATTACAAATGGTGTAGTGGTCTCATTTTGCAGGATCATTTCCTTTTCATTAGAGGACTCTTACAAAATCTTACAAATCCACTTGGTCTATCGTAGCAGCTCTCTTCAATCGATCAGCGAGGGCCTTGAAGTTTTACGATGCAACGGGGTATGTAGCACTCGGTCATGAAAAGTTCCCGACTCGGTCCCGGTAAAGTTTCGGAAGTCCCACAGTGTTGCCTAATGACCTCCGAAGGATGCGGCCTACGGGGTTGTAGACGGTTCAAAAGTGCCTATGACAATATGAGCAGGATGTCTCATTGACTAGGGGGCCCATTCAACCGTTTAATCGCTTGAAGACCCTTGTGAAAATATCTGGAGATAGGACAGAACAGCCATCAACTGCCGAGTTGAGGATAGTCTCATGACTTTGCTTAGGTCCTCCCTCAGGGCTCCATATCACTCTAGCTACTGACTCTAGACTTGCTCAAATGTTGCAATCCTTTGAATGAGTTGATTAAAATTGAATACAACACCTGATTGGATCGACACTGAATCAGGCTCCATGGCGTCATAAAGATATTGCAGAGCGCTTAGGTCACACAGAATTCTAGGACGTGGGTGCGCCACTCTGCAAATCAACCAGGGTAGAGGTTCTTTGACATGAACAAGGTACACTGAACTTCTCTTCCGGGATATGCAGGCGACTTATTACGTATCAGGCTTGTAAGTCTGCCTAACAAGGCTGACAACTTTTGTGCAATGATTTCGCGACGTCGCGATTCAAGCTGTGCCGATTACTCATCGGCTGGAAGAAAGGGGCATGCCATCAGTTGACGATGAATTAACATAGTCAACGGATGGAGTAAAGATAATTGACTACAAAAGCGTGGCTGTCATCCTTAAAATCGGTGCTTGATGAGCTGTGATCATCATCAACTACTATACTCCACCGTCTGACTTCAACTTATCATCATCAAACTGTCAAAGCTACAGTTAGCACCCTCACAGAATCGAGATTCAACATGAGATACTCTTTGGAGACCATCTTCACCTTCGTGCTTCTGGGGAGCACGACTGCATCTTCGGGACCGCTCCGACTCTCCCACATCACCTACCCTTCCAACGTTGGATGCGGTGAAGTGAACGTCTTCTATACGTGAGAACCGCATAGATCCCTCAAGAATTAGAGCGTTCGACTAACAACACACAGGTGACTTCCTGCCTATCATCCATACATGATTGCGGAGCACTATGACCCTGTTGATGTTGACAAGGAACTCCGGAATGACACCGCCGCACTTGTCAGGTCCGGCGTCAATGTTCACAGTACAATGCTTTCGTACCACCAAGTGCTGATCACTTAGGTACTGATAAACATTCGTCACAATTTTGTTTCAAGGCCCGGACCAACCAATTACAAATATCGCTGACCGAATGAACGGCACCCACTGGGATGTGACTGGCGTGGGGTTCGGCCAAAGGGGCGCGCCTATTTTGGACGTTGTCACTCGTTTTGAAGGTATTTGCTTCTGGTAGTTTACATGAAAAACCAGCTGTTGATGCTTACCGCGAACTTCAGATAATCTTCATCAGTTTCGCGAGAATGCGCCGTTGACCCCGACGGTATTCAACTGGGGTCCTACCACGCTGGCCGCCTCTGTGATCCGACATGTACCATTGAAGGAAGACTGTTCCGACAAGCCTGGAAAATCGATTGTAGGCACCGACTAATAGTGCGGATTGAGAAACCAAGACACTGACTTTCCACCATCAAGGCTTATGAGGAAGTATGCCCTCCCGAGCTATGTGAGAAGGTGACCGTCGTCACATCTGGGAGCCTTGAAGAGCTTCTGAAGGGCATTGAACACTAAATTCGCGCAACTGCCGAGGAAGGCAAAAGTCTCCGGCACTGTCTCAGCCTTGGGTGTGTAGAGGAATATTCAACATATTTGGCACAACACTCCGAGAGTATTTGCGATGCAGACGGGGTGGAGTGTTCGACAACTCAATGATTTTGTGGCTCTGATTTCTCTCTGTTTGTTCTATTGTACAGATTTCTCTTCGTTCTCATCTCATGGTGGACACATTCAATGGTTGATGGTCCAACACTTGGGGCGTACCACATCATGGTTGGCAACCACTGCCAAAGGTAACCTGAGTTGCTTACATCCCCCCCCCCCCCCCCCAAATTAGAAAAGGCCTGTTCTGCAGCACTGTAAATACAAAATGCTGCTTCACTTAACTTTGCGAAGCCTACACGTACCTGTGGGCAAGAGTGCGGTACGGGTGTGGGTTTTCTCGAAAAAATGAGGACGACGCACAGCTTCTCTTGTGCTCCAACGGCTGACGCGGAATAGTCTATGATGTAACATGAAGTGAAATGTAGATCTACATCACAACCGCAGGAGCATTGTCATCCTAATGGTTGTGGGATATTTATCTACATGACTGTGAGAGACCCGGCCGCTGGAGATTTACCAGCTTGTCTTCATCTTCCCGAGCTTGTAGAATGTCCCGCAATAGGATCCATCGCCGCATGGATAAGCAAATCTCTAGGATCGTTGAGACACGCGGAGCCTAGGAATATCACTAGACTGAACCTGGTAAGCCACATGGGGAGGCATATGGCAGAGCTGGACTGTAGTCGCTCGAACACGTAGCTGGAGGCCTCCGTCAAAAATCGCTCTCATCAAACACGCCCCTCACGGGCCATGTGCTGCATCTCAAAATCCCTCATACGATGGCTTTTCGTACACAACAAACACACAAATAACTGGCTTTCGAAAGGCCATGATGTTCAGATGTACGAGGGAAATTTTGAAAGGCAGCAACCGCTCTGGGTTGTATCTTGAGGCCGCTACAACACCCCGTCCACTCAGGTGCTAGTCTGCTTGTGTCGCCACACTCCCCTCATTTCGAGACCGAAAGTAAGCATATGGTGACATTTTCTTCATTGTGGTTCTTGCGGATATAGTTCATCTCATGTTTATGCTTGGTTGGGAAAATGCCCTTGCACGCGGTGTACATGTACCCTCGGATGCCCGGAGGCAGCAGACATCTGACCTTTTCCGAAGCTGCCGGCTCTGAGGCTAGTCTCATCTCACGCGATCTTTTGCCCTTGGAAAATAGAACTCTTCCACAACCTGTAGAGTCACTGCAGGTCAAGGAAGCAATTCGAAAGAAAATGTTTTCATTGTGGCTCAATTGCCTTCTCATCTTCGTACCCATCGGCGTCTGGGCGTTTTGGTCTGATAAAGCTCCCCTGGTCATATTCATCACCAATGCCCTAGCGGTGGTTCCACTGTCCTCTTTGCTCACTGGAGCTACTGAGATGATTGCATCCGATGCGGGCGATACGGTCGGAGCTTTGCTAAACATAACAATGGGAAACCTCGTGGAGCTGATTTTATTGTGAGTTAGTCTGGCATATGGCCACAGTTCGCTGACCAAAACGATAATAATTGACAATTTTCCAGCATGTAAGCGTGCCATTTATTGCTCCCATCAAGTCGTTTAATGGTGCTGATGTCCGCAGCATCGCCCTCAAACATAATCAGATCCAAGTCGTTCAAGCGTCAATCCTTGGTTCAATGCTTGTCAACTTACTGCCAATTCTTGGCACCGCTCTATGTGTCTGCGGAGTATCGCAACAGGAGCCGGCCTTGGATACTTCAGAGACTCAGCTCCTTGGCTGCCTCCTGTTTGTTTCCGTCTTTGTTCTTCTGATACCGGTGAGTGAGCGACACCTACCTTCCATCTGTCTGAGAACCATATTCATAAACGCCAGGCCGCTTTCAGCCATACGTTTCAAGCACGCGATGGCGCGAATGAAGCCATGTTGACAATGGGCAGAGCTTCATCCTTTGTGGTTCTGTTTATTTACATCTTTTATTTCATACATGAACTGAGAGAGCAACACATCTCTGCGATCCGACACCAAGATGTGGCGGACCTAGAAGATGGCAGAGCGATAGTATCACCTGACCCTCCATCATCGTCTCGGACCCGTCGTCTTGAGGACTCTCGTTTGCGTATATGGAATGGCACCAACGAAGTCCGCTGTGCTAATACTGATACCTTCGTCGAGCTCGATAGCATTGATGATTCCTCACGTTCCGCGTCCTCACGTGAGGATAGAGAATCAGAACGCGGAAGAAAAGAAAACAAGATCGAACAAAGAGACAGCCGCGCGAGCTCTTGCGATAGCTTAGAGTCGTTGAGCCGTCAGTCGCTTTGTCATTCGACTGCGGATCCTACTCACATCAATAGAATCTCTCAGACTACTACCGGCGCTCATCGATGGTCTTTCTCAGATAGATTGCGCATCTTCCAGACTAGTCGTTCGAAAGTCGCAACTCTTCGAGATCGAGAAAAGAGCTCCCGGAGATCCTTGGGACAAAAAGCGGTTTCCGTCATCACCTTAATCATTAGCTCGGCCTTGATGTCAATGTCCACCGAGTTTCTCGTCGGAACCATTGATGACATAACCCATCAAGGCCATCTGTCAGAGTCTTTTATCGGCTTGATAATTCTGCCGGTCATTGGGAACGTGGCAGAGTACGTCACTGTCGTGACGATGGCGTCGAAAGAGAAACTAGACCTCGCCATCGCGGTTGCAGCTGGGTCAGCCATACAGATCGCGCTTTGCGCAGCGCCCATAACTATCTTAGCAGGCTGGATCATGCACCGAGACGCAGCTTTTGATTTCAGCTTGTTTGAAGCGGCTGCCCTCTTAGGCGCAGCCGCACTTTCCACACGGCTTCTGCTGAGCGATGGGCGGAGCAACCTGAAGATGCCGGGTATCAAAGGAACACTCATGTGTGCATGTTATGCATTAATCGGGTACGTATTAGGATTTTCAATCTATATCAAGTGCTAGAAAGGGCAATGCTAATTCCGGATAGAGTTGGCTCATTCCTTTTACCTGATGTTGAGACATAGCGATGTCATGCATCGAAAGCACAGAGACAGCGTGACATTGTAAGATTACATATGCGTTGTCTAATACTATCGCCCAAGCAATGAGGAATTGCTTTACGACTGATGCTTGCCTTGCGAGCCGATTGAAGGCCTTTGTTACATTTATGGGTTTCTTTGTGTCTTTCCCTATCAAACAGTACTTTAAGTATAATCTATAACGTGACAACTATTCGTTTGGTGACTCTTCATTTCTACTTGCAGAGTGTCTTGCGTTACATGAGAGTAGTAATCAAAGTAAAGCCGATTTCTTCACAAGTAGATATAACAGTACGGGCCAGCAAGAGTGCTCATCGTGTCTCGAATTTTAATAGGAGGACCAGCAGCGTATCCGTACTCGAGAACATCGTCAAGAGTTGTGTTGGCACTTGGAGGCGAGTTCAAGAATGTGTTGGTTCCCATGACGGCATCATCAGCAAACTGACGAGCGTTGGGTGAAAGCATCTGCCACATCCACCAGACGCGATCAATCTGCGCGTGATGCAAGTAGAAAGCGGGATCACCGGGCGATACGAAAAAGTCTCTTCCAGGGTCACCACCAAGAGTCTGATGAACGTTAGCTTCGCGTTGTGACATGAATAACACAGAGGGAACGGAGCCACTTACGAAATGACCACCTCCGTGGATGCCCATGCCCATGGTACCCGACTCGGGATCTCCCTGCATCTCAACTTGGAACTTGCCTACGTTCTGAGGAACCAGGATGTTGTGCAGGATTGCGGAAGCGTTCGAGTACCTTCGGTTGATAGCCGTAGTCAAGTCGCGCTTCAGGCAGCGGGGGTTATAGGCAAAGAATCCGTCCGGGTTTGTTTCACTGCCTCCGCCCGGAAGAGAGAGAGCCAAAGGGCCAAGGTTTACAGACATATTCTTGAAAGGACCGGATGTAATGCAGCCACCTCCAGTTCCGGTTGGAAGGCGAGCGGCTTCCGAACCGTCAGGGTTGGTAAGGATGATGTCTTCCTGATCAGGGATGAACTCCCCATTACCAGACATTGATGTCTCGGTGCCGTCAAAAATGGGAGAGCTATCGACACCAGTTACGGCGGTCTTTGCCCAGTCCCAATACTGTCATGCTGATTAGCCGATGGCTATCATGGGTTTGTACCGGCAACTTACAGGTTGAGTGCCCTTGTAGCCACATTCCTCTCTAAGCGCCTCCTCGTACAACCAAGTGAAACGTCTGTGCCAGGACAGAAACGTGCCGGTGTAGTGGATGGTGAAAGTCTGGTTAATGTGTGTGGCAACGAAGTCATCGAACCGAGTCTTTGCACCAGGAACAATGTCGGAAGGGGTCAGGGCAGGCTTTGACTGAAGGCATTGCACGGCCTTGATGTAGTCGAGCTTTTCTTGTCTTTGTAACGAACCCCTAGACTCATGTTAAATGCAGTTCAGATTACAAGGCGAGCATGGCCAGGACAAAGCTTACCATTCTTTGCGGATTTTGATGTTTCCAAGAGAGCAGGAGCTTCCACGCTTCTGGATTTCTCCACTTTGGATCATCTCTTCCGACTTCTGGTAGGCAGCCTGAGCGAGAGCCGTAAGCTGATCGACATTCTCGGCAGCAGCAGCGGCCCCGTCATCAGTCTGAGGGAGTGGGTTGCCGAGAACAGCGGAAGCCGCCTGAAGGGCGAAAACACCAAGTGAGAGAACGTGCATGATGAGGCCGGCTGTGTGGGACAAGGAAACAAGGCCGCAAGAACGAGTGGCTCAGGGCTTGAGTACTTTCTGAGTGCGGAAGAGAACTTCTGCAGGAGAAGCGCCAGCCGTGTGGCAGATATATAACCCTCCCGCCGACCTACATCCGATCAGAAGAGACTGAATCACATCAGTGACAAGATAAGAAGTCGACCGAGGCCCTACTACTTCGTTGGTGGTGCTCTCTCCGTACGTGATA